GGATTGAATGACTTAGAATAGGAGGAAGCATAATAACAATGTATGCAAAGATACAGTATCTTGATTGTCAATATGTGAATTTTGATAAAATTCAAGTGAGGACTAAAGGACTAAAGGACACAGAAAGACTTTGTAACTAATCGACACACTGTGTGTAATTGAAGAGGCTTTTATGTTATATGTGTTGTGTGTTTGTGTTTGTCTGAAAATAAAAATTTTATTAAAAAATGTTTTTTATTAAAAAGAAAAAATTAAGTTTCTTTTTAATTCCAGATTAGATCTCCTTCTGACTACCTTCACGCCATTGCTTCTTGTTCTGCCCTCAAGTACTTTGGAGAACAAATCAACCCCCTCTTTACTGTGACAGCCCTTCAAGTATTGGAAGACGTCTATCATGTCATAGTAAGGCTTGTCTTTGTTAGGCTAAACATACTTAGTTTCCTTAACAGTTCATCCTACAGTTTAGCCTCCAGATCTCTTATAATCTTTGTTGCTTTTCTCTGACTCTTTATAGGCCCTCAGCATCTTTTTTTGTATCATGGTGACCAGAACTGGAAGCAGTATTCCAGATGTAGTTTTGCTAGGTTAGTATAAATTGATATTATCACTTCTTGTGTTCTTGATACTATCCCTCTGTTGATACAGCCGATGACTGCATGGGCTTAAATTGCTTAAGTGCATTGGTTAAACAACTAGCAGAACATTGAGTTAGTTCAATCTAGCCACATCTCAGTTAAAGACTAAATTTCAATTAAATATCAAGAAAACCAGGTTATGAAGAAAAAGTTAGGCATTGAACCAAGATCCACAAGACCCACAGTAAAAGTAATTCTGACTCATTATAATTCTTGGTGCCTGGGAGAATAGGGAGGAGGCCCATCCCAAGAGGAAGAGACTGCAACAGTATTCATAAGCAACCTTGGGAATACTCACTTCAAAATAAGAAGCCTAATTGCTACTGTTTACAACACAATTAGCATATCAACAAGTTTAATCAGTGAAATACAGAAGACGGATGAAGAAATCTATGATCCCTTAAGTAAGCCGCCTTTTTTATTAAAAGTTTTTGAAACTTTTTCCCACTCATTTTCTTCATGTAAGTAGAAGCATAAGTATCTTCTTGAAAACTTTTCTTGACAATGCCCAAATGTAGTTTTTCCTCTCCATACAATACAGTACTATAAATAGTATCATATCTTGGATGAGAAGTGAAACATCTTCAAAGAAAAACCAGAAAGTCCAGTTGCCTCTTGGAAAAGTACTTTTGGGACAACTATGACCTGGATGACTGAAAATCTCCATAGACATATCATAAATATACTACAAACAAAATTTTCAATTATAAATGCAGCAGATGATCCATACCACTTTCAAAGGCATACAAAGACAAAATAATCAGAAACTAATAAAAATTGAGTTAAAAATTTCTTTGGAAGCTGAAGTCTGCAATATATAAGTCAAATGCCAAGTAATTTTTATGTTAAATCACTCTGAGTTTAAAAAAAGGTTGCAAAACAGATTCATTTATTATATAATACACTATTATTTAATATTTATATACCATATCCAACAATACAAACTTGTTTTGGTAATTTGTTATCAGTCTCCTTTAAGGTAATTTGTTACCTTGCAATCTCCTAGAGATGCTCTATTAATTGGAAATGAATCTCTAGAGTTCTTGAATCTGAAAGAATACAGAATCTTCTATTCATTAAAATATTACAAATAGTGCCAGATTTATACTTGCGTTTCCTAAAATCCATTAGAGTCTAAAGAGTTGTGGAAGTCTTTAAAGTACTTCATTTACTGACCAATTTCTTTTATAATTTTCCACTCATATTGAATCAGTTTTTGCTCAGTCTTATGATATTCATAAGGATAGCAAGAAAAATGGTGCTACAGTTTCTGAAGCCAAGATTGCAGGTATTGATTGTATATGCTGATTTTTCTCTGAGAAGCATTGTTCCGTTTTGCTTTTTTCCTCTTCTCCCAAATGTGTCTCTCATCCTTTTTTAAAGTTCCCTATATATAACATATTATTAGCTTTTATTCCCTGTGGTTGATGTGGGAATATTTTCTGGCTGATAGGTTTTCTATTTGGGAGACACTCTGGAGGAAACGCCATGTTTTTTTTTCTAATTCTAAAATTTGATGGATGATAAATAGCAATAGTGCTTAGACTTATATACCACTTCACAGTGCTTTACAGACCTCTCTAAGCAGTTTACAGAGTCAGCATATCGCCCCCAAACAATCTGGGTCCTCACTTTACCCACCTCAGAAGGATGGAAGGTTGGTGAGATTTGATCTGCCAAACTGCTGGCAGCTGGTGATCAGCAGAAGTAGCCTGCAGTACTGCACTCTAGCCACTGCACCACTGTGGCTCTTAGGTAAATTGGGGTAACAATCTCATATGACACCTTTCATTATTATCTAATATTCCCCCACTTATAATGAGCACTTGAAGAGGCTCCAAAACATCTACATATTCTTTGGCAGTTCAGACTGATTTCTTAATCATATTCAGAACAGATCACAATTTCATTCCACCCTGAGATTTTTACAGAACCTCAAAGTCACACAGTTAAAGCAAATACATGTTTTTTCCTTTAAAAAGGAGATGCTAAGAAACAATGCTAGCAGAAACATGCATTTTAGCATTTATATGCCAAAACAAGTCCCAAAAGATGAGTCTTTAGCTTAAAGACAAACTTTCATCTCTAACATTCCCTTTGGTTTTAATAGACAAGCTGATTTCATTTTTGAAAATGGCCAGTATTATTAGGTCAGTCATATTTTTACTATATAGTATCCTAAGCAGTAGGACCAATTAGATTATTCTTCATGCAGAAATGAACTGACTACCTATCCCTGAACAACTGATAGCCATTTCTTCACTCAATGAATAATCCAGCCACTCTGCCTCATCTTAATTTACTTTACAGGGCTGCTGTGAGGATAAAGTGCATGTAACAGTAAAAAACTGACATATATTTGAATCATGAATGAAACAGATTTTTACAATCAAAACAGCCCTTCTTTTCAGCCTAGATATTCTATGCATCTGATTAATTTTAAAACTTAAATTGTGTCTGTCAGATTCCTGCTACCAGATTCCTCCTGATTTTTTGCCACCATAGACTAACATAGTTATGTTCTGCAATTTTATGTACAGCTAAATTTGGTGATGAATTCAGGTCTGACAAACCAATAAGTAGTTCTCAAGAGTGACCTACCGTGTGAGGGTTGTCATAGTAGATAGCGATAGAAGACAGCCTTGGAGAGACGCTGCAGCTCTCTGTGAAAAACCTTCCGGAGTCACCATAAGGTCCCACCTGGAATTTGTATGCCACAGTGATGTTGCCAATGGGGGGCAAACCAGCATTCACAATTACTTCTGTAAACAGTCCCGAATAAACAGCAAAGCCAAAGATCGTCAGCAACAGAAGCAGCACCAATGCCACAAACAGTCCAATTAGAAGCCAGTCCGACATGACTTCTGATGTATCCAATGTTCAGATATCAACTAATGACAAAAGAGGAGACCAAGATTACTGAATGCAGATACTCGTTGCTTTTCTCTATATGCTCAGACTTACAGTGCAAGAGAAGAGTTAAAAGGGATTCCTTCTTCCCTTACCTACAATTCAAAGTAATCTTTATGAAACCTGCTTTGGTTATAAAGCCTTCCATGAGATGGGACTAAGATAGTCCTTCTTTCTAGTTGTTTTATTTAACCCATCTGATCTGGCAAGAAGGATATGTTCCTGATCCCGCCAATTAAAGTATGTCATTTAATGCAGGGATCTCCAACCATGGCAACTTTAAGACCTGTGGACTTTAATTCCCAGAGTTCCTCAGCCAACCAAGGTTGGAGATCCCTGATCTAGTGGGACACAGGAAGATGCCTTCTCTGTTTCAGTATCTGTCTTTTGGAACCCCATTCCACCCATCCAAAATTAGATTGGACCAATCCCGCTGGCCTTTCTGAAGACTCTTAAGACTCTACTCTTCTCACAAACATATCAGTCAGAAGACAGAACTCTTGAGGTGTTGCTACTTCGATGGAACAAGAACTGTTGATTCTTTGAGCAAGGAAATAATTAAAAGAATTAGTAAACAGCAATAGAGAAATCTCTATTTACAGCAATACACTGCTGTTCTGTTGCCTGTGAACATTAAGATTTGAATTAGTTTTCTGTTTCTTTGTTTTGTCCATTTAACCAAGGGCAAGGAAGAAGCTTTGAATAATAGGGTCAACATTTTTGGTATTGATCTGTTTGCAATAATTTTCCAGTATTTTTTTTTTATTAACATAATTGTTTTGAAATAATTACTGCTTCTTTAATACGAAACTCATTTTAACAAACATTTGTAAACAGTAATTGTCAGTTGCTCCTAACTGTCTGTTAAATTCAAAACATATCATTGCAGCAAATTGTATCATTTATGTAATTATACCAGTACACAAATGACAAATCTCTTTAGCTGCCATAAAATTAAGATTAAAATTAGCATAATTTGAGCAACTAGATAAGGAGTATTTCAGATACAACAATTACCCACTGCCTCCAAAGTCCATTATTTGTAGGTCGGTAAAATCAAAGTTTCAATGAATTGTTTATTAGTATTATAGTACCCATTTATATATTTCAAATGCCAGGCAAACAAAAAAAGCAAACATTTCCTTGAAAAAAATGTCAAAATAATATCTTATTAGGAAAAAACGTGGTGCCGTTCGTGTAGATTTGTGCAGAAAAAGCTTCCAAACCTACAGGGCTCCTAATGAACTCAACATTTGTTTTATATATATTCCTAATTCTCAAAATCTTCAAGGTAAAGCTCAGAAATATTACAACATCAAAAAGTTGCTTATAAGTTTCAAGACTTTGTTGTAATTCTTAACAAACTGATTTGAAATAGCTAACTGTTAACATAAACAAAGTTAACAAGTGTTGTTTAATTGTTGCATTACTGAGCCTTTCTTTAAGTGTGAAATTCTCTCTTGATTCAGCTTACCTCTGTTCTTCCCATGTCCCATTTTACACCAAGAATTGGAACTCCCTTAAGCTTTTCTATCCCATTAGTGTACTATTGAGACAGGCAATACAATGCCCTCCAGATGTTTCAGATTTCATTAGCTCCAGCCAGTAATTGCTGATAGGATTATAGGAATCGTCATCCAAAATACTTGGAGAACATTGGAATGCCAACTCTTGTAACTCTAATTTCAAAGAGTCAAACTACATATTAAATTGAAAAGATGTATGGAACCATTAGTGCCATTTCTTTACCTACCAAAATAACAATTCATGATGTAAGAATCTGGATAGTTATAGCAGCATTGCAAAGGTGTACGATTTCTAATTCAAATCCTACGAAATCAGATATATATTGCAAATCATACCATTCTTCAACCTGTTTTTATCCCTGCAAGATTCCAAGTGTTATGTTTATAGTTTGGGGCACATAAGTGGAAACCTACAGAAAAGCAACTGGAGTGAGAGTTCGAAATGAATTAAACATACATGTTTCTTTCTCCAAACTGTCCTCTCCAAAGAAATCTTCCTAAAAAAAAAGAATGAAAAAATAATTACATTAAGTAGCAAAATTCTAAAGTAAAGTTTCTAAAACAGTAAAAAAAAAATGATTTTCGTCACCCAGAATTTCAAATGCCAGTTGTACGTGTGCACAAAAATGTATAAACTTAACATTGATTTCATTTCTTCAGATTAACAGATTGCCTAACTCACTGTACATTGTTTGAAAGCATCTAACAATACATGCATTTAACTAACTAATATTTTCCTAATTTCATTTAAATTAACGGGATATTTTCCAGGCAGAAAAGCTTTTGCATCTATGCGAAAGCTGGCACAATTATCTGAGAGTGATTCACACAATTGTTGGACAAATCATGAATACAGAAAAATGCCTGGAAAAAAAATCCTGCATGTAAATGAATCAACCACTACCCGAAGGCCAAATAATTCATGAGGCAGCAATACACACATCTGATCTTTTTCCGATGGATGACACCATGAATTAACCTATCTTTAAAGTACATCTTGATAAAGGTATCGCTCAATATAGTTCTTAGGCTCAAGAGAGATATCAATATGATATTGCAGCTCAAAGTAATCAGGCATAATTATGGCAAGGTGAGTGGCAAATAAATATGATAGATAGATGATAGAGAGATGATACATAAACATTATTTCTTGAAGCTGAGATTTGTCCACTGTTTCATTCTTTTTTCAGAAATTTCATAATTTGAGACAAACACTTCTTCAATGAAGACATTGGTCTTACCTGAAGAATATCACAAGATCTTCAGATTCAATATTTGCTTTCTGGGGGGAAAAAACCGAAAGTTTAGTGATGTAGCCTGATTTCATATTTTCAAATTTTACATTAGAATATCACTGCTCTATAATATTTCACTGTTATAAGCAAAAGATCCAGTAAGAATGTAAATAGAGAAGCATTCCTCCTATAAATGAATCTCTACCTGGGAGGATGGGAAGAGATCACAAATGCTCATACCAAGAGAATGAAAAGTATGCCTATGGGAGAGTTCTGTTCACAGTGGTGGAAAGAGGAGAGTTTAGAAAGGAAAGAGATCTTAGTATATTCTTTCAAGCCATAATCTCAAATCTTTGCTGATTCACTCAATGTGGATGAAACAGAGGCATTCAAAAATAGCTCAGGTAAGCAAATGATGAAAGCAATATTGTAACAGCACACAAGACATGCTCCACCCTGGTTTGTTTGTGTATTGTGATATCACATGCATATACAAAAAGGGTGCAGCTCGCACAATGTTGCTTGCATAATTTTATTGAAAGAATCAGAATCTGTAGATTCTTCTGAATGGAATACGGTAGGTTGTAATCAAGGACAGGCATGCTGGCTATAACAAATGGAAGCGAGTACAGTTTTAATTGTATCTTCCAAGTAAACTTGGTAATGACAGAAACATTCTGTCAACTCTGAAGGGATCGTGGCTGAGGCCATCTTGAAGGCTTCAGGGCTGCCCGACAACAAGGGAGGGGGAAAATTGTCAGATGGGGTTTGTAGCCCCAAAAATAAAGCTTTCCTGTGGGAACCCAAGGACACTTCCCACAGGTGGCTGGCCAGAGGAGGGGTGAAGTAATCAAGCAACCGGCAGTTCCTAGATTGGACACCTTCATCAGGAAGCAGCCCAAACCAAAAGAATTCTATTTGGTTTCCCAGTAAATTTGATTATTATTTATTTATGACATTTTTTCTGCCATGCCGTAACAGTTTCTGAGCAGTTTCTGCTCCCCCTCCATAAAAATTTAGTCAGAGGCTATAGAACTTAAAAACATACAAAAATTCAACTAACAAATTTCAGTACACACACACATACACATACACACACACACACAAACACACACATACACTTTCCCTGGAAAGCCCTCTAGGATGGAACTAAGCAGGATTCTCTAGAAGGTGTTCAAAAACTGGTAGTTTCAACTTAAAAATCTCTCTCTTTTGTCATTACTAGAGCTATTACTATTTTAGAGCTTCAAAAATTTTTTTAAAAAGAGAAGTCCTTAGACATGGAGCATAAGCACACTTCCCTATTATTCATTATCCTAGCAGCCCATGCTGTAAAGCACACTTGGGATAAAAATTGCAGTTGCTTTAAATGTTGCACTAACTTTTGAAATCTGAAATTTTAAAAATGCAACTTTTGAGGCAGCAGGGTTGTTGTTTAGGGTTATACAAAAGCCCAGGGATATGGAGGAAAGAACAGCTTTAACAGAGGTGTCTTCTGTTCATAGAAGGTCCAGGTCATTGAAAACAGAATTGTTTTCAAAGTGGGAACATTCTAATAATTATCCACTTTACTTCAAAACAGAGAGCGATTCTGGAGCACAGCCTTTAAGGGAGACATTCAGGGGTGGGATTCAGCCAGTTTGGACCAGTTCAGGTGAACCGGTAGCTCAGGCTGAGGAGCAAACCGGTTTGCTTTAACGATCAGGTGGGCCCACCCGCCCACTCCTGTGCTTTGCTTACCTATATCCTCTCAGCTGATTCATACGGCAGAGCAGATTGCCGCACCTCAGCTGTGTTACTCCCCAGAAGTAACGTAAAAAGTAAGTTTTGTTAAAACTGTGCATGCACACAAAGTGCGCATCAAGCTCGTGTGTGAAGCATGCCATCACCGAAACGGTTGTTAAACCGGCAGGATCCCACCACTGGAGACATTACAATCTCATAAACTGATGGAAGAAAGCTTACTTGAAGCAACCTGATTCAAGCCACATTGAACAGCTGGCAAGTCACTGGCAAGCCTATGCCAACTGGCAAGCTTATGCCAACTGATAAGCTAACAGTTCTACTTTTTGATGAATAGCAAATTCAACTATTTTAAAGAAGACCCCCAAATACAAGACTTTACAATAACTGAAGCAAGAAAACATCAGAAAATCTAGGCAAGCGTGAGCCAACAACTCATTCTACACCTACCAAATCTGGGCTGCAAAAATGCAGATGACCACCAAATGGTGGCACAGAATTAGAGCCTTCTCTATCTCTTTGTTGATAATCTAATGCAGGGATGTCAAACTCACAGCATCACAGCGGCGTCACGTGAAGTATTGGGACTTTTTTTTCCCTTTCGCAAAACTGGGTGTGGGCATGGCCAGTGCATGAGGCATCTGGCCGATGGGCCAGGAATTTGACAGCCCTGATTTAATAGTTTGGATTTGTAGCTCAGATCTAGCTGCTCTACCTCAATTGGGCAAATGATTCAGCTGGAAAAAGTCCTTCAAGTGAACTACTGACAGTGGCAGATCAATACAAATGCCTGATTGAAAGCCAAATCTTTTAGTAATAATGCCATCTTCCAAAGGGATATTCACTCTTACAAAGCATTTAAAATCCACTCTTCCTCTCCTGTAACATCAATGAAGACTATGTGTAGGAAATATAGAGAGAGCTGAGTTTCTTAAAGCCTTTCCCTGTTCACCAATTTCTCCTGTCGTCATTTTTGAATGTTTGGTTCCCAACTAAGCTCCAAACCCACAAAATTCTAAATTTATTTAGAAAATTGGGTAGTATTATTTATATGTGCCTATTTGTTCCTAAAGCTTTCAAAGCAGCTTTAACATGTAAGATTCTTAAAAATTTAAGAACTGATTAATTCCATAATGTTGACCATTCCCACAAAACTAACCATGGCATTCTATATCCGGGGCCAAGAAACGACATCTGTACCCAGAAGGCAGGTTTCTAAGTATGGTCACATTCCAAACCAGAGAGGAAAGATAAATCAGATGCATATTCAAACAGGTATAGAGGTATCTACCTTTCCTGAATTGCCTTCAGCGTATTTGGATACCTCTGCAAATTTGAATCCCATTGCATATCTAAACAGCAAATGGGGACAGAGGCAAACATATATAAAAACACAACCAATTTAAACCAATGGTTTTAGAAATAATAAAAAAGTTGTCTGTGCAAAACCTATACCATATTTTTCAGAGTATAAGACACACCTTTTTCCCTCAAAAAAGAGGCTGAAAATCTGGGTGTCCTTATACACTGAATGCAGCATTTTTTGCCCCCTTCACCAAAATGGCCTTGCATAGCCTTTAGGAGGCTTGTAGAGTGCTCCTGGGGGCTGGGGAGGGCAGAAATGAGCAAAAAAAAAGCCTTTTTTTTTTGCTCAATCCCCCCCCCCCCCCCCCCCCCCCCCCCCGGCAGCCCCCAGGAGCACTCTACAAGCCTCCTAAAGGCTATTCATGCCTTTTGGGGAAAAAAGGGCCAGTTTTCATGAAAAACTGTGTTTTGGGGAAGTCTGCAGAGGGCAAAAACTTTTTTTTAATTTGCCTCTTCAAAATCTTAGTGCGTCTTATACTCCGGTGGGTCTTATACTCCGAAAAATACAGTATATATGTTCTTTTGTTTTCATTCCTGGGAGAAAAGTATCCAGGCCAAGATGACTTTATATCACTATAATCCAGCATCCTGTTTATCCCATTGCAAGTGGCTTATTACATGACTCCAGGATACCCAGAAGCAAGACATTTAAAAAATGCTAAAGGAAGTACTGCTGAAAATTGCATATTTTTTTCCTTAAGTTAGCTGCATTTATATTGTAATTACAAGTACATCAGCCCATATTATAAGATTACATTTAAAGGTTACACCTGAGTATGTTTAATTAGGAGTATGCATGATTAAACTCAAGGTTATTTCTGGGTAAACATGATCTATATAACACAGTCAAGTTTTGCATTTAAGTGGTGGCTTCAAAAATTCAAAAATGTCTAAAATGGGAAACAGTTAAGTATAAAGCTATACTCCAGGGATCATTTAATATCTTTATGTGACAAGAATAGCAGTGGCTTCAAACGTGTTCCCTAGATCTTAACCAGAGTAAAATGGCACTACTGCCCCACATAGCATATTTCCAATGTTATTATTCTTTGCATAGTTGCCCAAGCTGTGTTTGCTGACTTCATCTTGCCTCAGGGTCAGATCACATTACCTAGATGGGAAGCTACCAGGAAATATCACTACCATTGGCTTTATCACTACTATTTAATTTTACTGCCATAGACAATAATGTCATAGATATCATGCCATAAATCATCCATTGGAATATCAGGAATTGCTGATTCTCCTATCCTGCTCTTCTGAGTGTCTTGTCCTTTTTAACCAACTAAATCTACCTAAGGATGAAGAAAGGCAGTTACTTCTTAAACAGAGAAGCAAATAGCCGCATTTCTCTTATATTGAAGTTATAGCTTTCAAAATTATTTCGAATATGTAAGATTTCAAAAAAAAATATTTGAACAAGAAACAGCGAAGAACTATTTACGTGGGACAAGTCTAGGCTCCCATTTATCTATTCACAATATAGGGGAGAACATTAAGCCCTTCTTTGGGCACTGGGCAATGCCACCTGACTTAATTAGGATAATCAGGGCATTTGGGACAAGATCCTACTCTGGTTTGCATTTTACACAAAATATTTAAATAACCTCAGTCAAAACCTGTTTTGAGAAATGATGCATCATTTAAACATGGCAAAAAGATATAAGATACAGGTAGTTTTCGACTTATAACCATTCGTTTAGTAACTTACAGTTACAAAGGACCTGAAAAAGTGACTTATGGTTGTTATTCACATTTATTACCATTGGGGCATCATCCTCGTCACATGATCAAAATTCAGATGCTTGGCAACTGGCATGTATTTATGACAGTTGCAGTGTCCCAGGGTCATGTGATCAACTTTGTGCCGTTCTGAGAAGCAAAATCAATGAGGAATCCAGATTCACTTAACAATCATGTCATTTATATAATAACTGCAGTGATTCACTTAACAAATATGGCAAAAAGGGTTGTAAAATGAGACAAAATTCATTTCACAACTGTCTTGTTTACCAATAGAAATTTTGGGCTCAATTGTAAAATGAGGACTACCTGGATCTAAGCGTGTTTGGCAGGGGGGGAAATTCATAAGTTAAATTTAAGGCCTTATAGGATGTAAAGAAAAAAAGGAGCATTAGGACATGACCTGAGATTTGAATGGCATGGTTGTATGACAAAAATGTCAATTATTTCAAAAACAATTATATTAGATGTGTCATACTGAGAATATGGAATGGATGCAAATCCAGGTTATGTCCCAAAATACTTTTGTGGCTTTCAGCACAGAAAGTATTTTATACATGAGAAATAATAGGCAATCACAAATAGCTAACTTATTATGAGATATTAGAATTTTGTCAAGGGAAATGGAAAATAAAATCAACAGAACTGGTGGCAGAGAAATATAGTTATCAACTATTCTTTTATTTGCATTCAGTTATTAGAAATATTTAAAGTAGACAAAAAATTAGTTTTAAGCACTGTTAAGACTGAGTTTGAAATGAAATAGTGTACAAATTATGAACATGTAATTGCTAAAAGGTATTAAATTTTACTGAAATTTGAAACAGAAGAACAAGTGAAAGAATGTATGATAAAATGGGCTAAATTTTGTTATAATATACAGAAAAAATATATAGTTGAAAGGATTGAAATTTATATTATGTTATAATCTTAAAGATAATGTTTATAAAATGACGTATGATTGGTATATGTCAGAAAAATTGTCTAAAATGTATAAAGACACTTCAAATTTATGCTGAAAATATGAACAACTGGGACACTTTATCATGTTGGCTGGACATCTAAAACAACAAAATTTTGAATTCCAATACATACATTGATTCAGAGGATTTTGAAGTTTTATATAAAATTGAAACCAGAGGTCTTTCTTTTGGAACTGAGAATAAAAAAAAATGGAAAAAAGTTATAGAACTTTGATTTGTATAGGTTATACTGCAGCAGATTATTGCATGCACAAAAATGGAAAGATTCAGCATTATTTACCATTGGAAATTGTTGGTGAAGGTGGATGAGATGGCCAAATTGACATCTACATTTATTGCTGGAAACCCTTATGGACTTTTTGCAGAAAACAGAAAAGAAATGAACATGATTTTGACTATTAGGCAGGATATAGAAAGAAGAGAGACATGTAGAGACAGAGGTAAAGTTATAATTGTACAGTATTTACAACTGGTGTAAAGAAGATAGTAAGCCACTTCTTTTCCTGCCCTGACAAGAATGGCATGATGCCATTTCACACAATTAAATATATAAAAATAGGTAAAATACTAGTTAATTAAACTGTATTTATCATTCCAGTGTGATATATTATACAAATTTCCTTTCATTAAATAATATAAAGTTTGTACTATGGTAACTTATGTATTTATTCTTCCAGTGTTTATTTTTAATTCTTAAACCTAGGAAGAGAAAATAGAGGCACAATATCTAAACATACTATCTTCCACATATATCAAAATCTTACTTTATGAAAAAAAATGAAACAGACAAAATTATTACAACATGGAAGTGTTGCTTTGCTTGGCTACTTGAAAATGAAAATTACAAAATCATGTTCATCTTTTTCTCTCCAATGAGCTGTTTTGTCTCTCCCAAAACAGTCTGTTTATTTTACCAGCATTCTACTTCCTGGTTCATGTGTACCAGCTTGATGACATCATTATGCTCGTGCACAGTTTTCCAAGGCCAGAATGTACATTTACAATTATTCCTTAAAGAACTAGGACTGCTTTTAATGAAACCTCTGAAATATGCTTTCTTTACCAGCAATTAAACTAATAGGTACATTGTTTTGGAAAAATAGAAAGATCAAATATCTGGTATTTGCAGAGACTTGTATGAAAAGAAGGTTGTTTTTTTCTTTTTTATCCTCTGTTTGTGATGTTCCCAATGCTCAGTGTAACCATATATTTATGTCACGGCAACTGCTGGTAAAGACAACTATCAGAATGGAATGAGTCCTTGGGACAAGTCCAAAATATGATCCAAACAACAAGTCTGGTTAAAAGCCAGTTCAGTAGCTGTCACTCACTTGTCTTTCCTACCCAAACATTTTTCCATCCAAGCGTAATCTATGATTTTAAGTCCAGTTACAATCATATTCCTAAAGCCATAAACTACTAAACCACAGAAAAGTAAGAAAGGAGTCGTTTGAATTATGTTACATCAACTAAATCCTCCCTACACCTAAAGCTCACTGTATTTGAAATTGTGCAATGTTTACTCATCTCTCAACACTTCATCTCAGTGTGGCAAGGGAATGAGAAACTTAGTATTTAAATCAAACCAATGTTTTCATTCTATATCCTCCAAAGAAAAGCTCTAGACTAGAGCATGAAGAAAAGGCTTAAAAAGAAACCAAAATATTAAAAAAACAGTGAGAATTACTAATGATGAATAGATATACAATAGGGTGAGATTAGGCATCTCATCAAATTAAAATTACACATACAGTACTTATCTAAAGTCAGATCAATTGAACTAAAATAATTTATATATCCAAGTAAGCATGCAAAAATAACTTTAAAAGATGCCTGAATTAAAGTTTTATATCAACAGCGAAGATGGGATGTTAATTTGTTTCATAATTAAAGTTGCTAAATCTCTTTCTGGAAAAATCCTATTCCTCTACCAGATTTATGACTACCAGAATTTCAGGTACAAATATTTTATCGGGATAAATAAGATGACAATTTACATTTTAAAAGGTTCTGTACTATTGCTTTTTATGTTGCTATGTAATGAAAAAAGCACAGGAACCTACTACGTATTAATAGAATGCAAACTATTGCTTACATACATTAATTATATTATAATAGGATCCTACAAAAATACAAAACTGTTCATAAACAAAGATAGGGGACTCGCATAAGTTAATAAGACAAAACTGAAAACCAGAGGTCCTCATTCGCGTATCATTTCTTTAGTGTTTCCTACTGTAAAAAGTAAACTCAAGGTAGGTAAACTGTTGGGGCTTTGTTTGCTTGCTTTCCTTCTAAGAAAAGTTCTCATCCCAGAGCTTGATCCATTTGTCTCCATAATATCCAAGTGTCTCCTGATCTCTAAAGAAGCCAGGCCCAAGTTGTGGATCCCGCCCTAAGCAACATTGAGGAAAAGTGACAGCCAACTATTTCTGCTCCCCCTACAACCTGATAGTTCCAGCTTGACTATTGTTGATATCCAAGCAAAGGGACTCCAGCCCCTCTTGCCTCTTCCTCCAACACCCCGCCAAGGGTCCCTTTTCCTCTCCACAAACCACCACCACCCCTCTGCTGATCCCACCCGTCCCAGGAACCCGCAAGACCATCTGTTCATAGGACTACCCTCCCCTCGGATCCCCAAGTGTCGCTCCCCACCCATTTCTTCCCCCCCCCCCACCTCCTGTCTGTCACCTTCGCTGCCCACAACCTTGCTCCAAGGATCGGGGAGGAGGGGGGAAACAGCCCCGCCAGGCCGACCCACCAAGCCCCACTTCCCTTCCGCCCAGCAGTCACCCCGCCGCCCATTTGACACCTAAGCAGGCACCCATAAGAAACCACCCACGATCAACTTGGGACCCCCCCGGTCCTTCAGGCTCCCCCCGCCACACCTTCTCCTTCCCCGGCGTTGCAGGATCCAGCCACCGGGATCGGCTCTCGCTCGCCCGCCCGCCCCTCCGACTCACCCCCTCCCTTCCCGTCACAGCGATGGGCAGCGGAGCGCTTCGGCAAGCGAGTGGCAGCTTCCCGGCTCAAGTCGCGGGCTGAGAAAGCTGCGGGCGGGGACGCGCCTGGCTAGGCGGCTGCCGCCGCCAAGCGCGTCCCCGCCCACCGCGCCGTGCACGTGCCCTGGCAGGAGCGCGCTACCAGCAGCTGAGGCGTCCGGGAACCTACGCCGGCCGCTTTGCGCTTTGCTGGGAGGGAGAGCGAGCGGGAGGTGGCAATTGAGGCAGAGCCCTGTAGTGGAAGCCCTTGGTGGAGCAGGCCTCCTGCCTGCTCTGCCTACATGGACGAGGGCGACGAGCACGTGGGGGGTGGGTGAAAAGGCGGGCTGGGCCCCGCTCAGCTGGTTTACAGCTTTTTTCCGTGACTTAGCTGGAGCTTTCCTCTCTGCACTTGCGGGGGCGGGAGGGAGGCTAGATAAACCTTATTTAGTGCCGGTTTTAAGGCCCTGTTCGAATGCAGTGTCAACTCCCTCTCCCTCTCTTTGCGACTTGAGCAGGAACCAATTCAATTTAAAAAAATAGAATAACAGAGTTGGAAGGGACCTTAGAGGTCATCCAGTCCAACCCCCTGCTTGAGCAGGAGAGAAGCATTTTATACCATCCCTAACAGCAACTTCCTTTCTTTGGTGGAGGACAATGGCTCTTTCCCTTCTCTGGGAGGAATCTTCTCTTTACAACTATTCCCAATCTTAAAATGCGACTGCTCAAAGGAGCCTATCAGATCTGAGCAGCAAAAGTGCAGTTAGAATGATAAAAGAAAACATAATGGCTGCCTTGTGCTTGGAAGCCCAGCTGGTTCTCTCCCCCCCCCCCCCTCTGCGATTGCACCTATTTTCCTAGAAGGTGGCATGGTCAACATCAGAGATGTATTCAGCAGGTTCAGACCAGTTCTGGAAACCAGTAGTAGAAATTTTGAGTAGTTTGGAGAACCAGTAAATATCAGCTCTGACTGGCCCTGCCCCCCCATCTGTTCTCTGCCTCCAAGTGATCAGGAGGGAATGGAGATTTTGCAGTAACCTTCCTTTGGAGTGTGGAGGGAATGGAGATTTTACAGTATTCTTCCCTGGCCACGCCCACCAAGCCATGCCCATTAAGCCACGCCTACAAAACCGGTAGTAAAAAAAAATTGAATCCCACCACTGAACCCACTGATGTAACTTTCCCCAAGGGAGTGACTGAGAACAGAACCTTTTGAAGCTTTCCTCTGTACTTGTGGGGATGGGAGGGAGGCCATAGAAACCTTATTTAGTGCCTGGTTTAAGGCTGTGTCCAGATGCAGTGTCAAGTCCCTTTTTTTTTTGCAAATTGCGCAGGCAGCAATTCAAAAGGTTCTGTTCTCACCGCCACTGCCTTAGGGAAAGTTACATCGGGGTTACCCAATGAAAATAGGTGCAATCTTAGAGTGAGGACGTGGCACTAGCAAGCTGGGCTTCCAAACACTGGGCAACAATTATGTTTTCTTTCAAGTGGCTCTCCGGACTTTTGCTGCTCAAACCTGATAGTTCCCTTGAAAGATCGGATTTTAAGATTGGGAGAGAGGTTGTAATGAGAAGATTCTTCCCAGAAATGGGAAAGAGTCATTGTCCTGCACCAACGAAAAGAAGTTGCTGTTAGGGATGGTATAAAATGCTTCTCTCCTGCTCATGCAGAGAGTTGGACTAGATGACCTCTAAGGTCCTTTCCAACTCTGTTATTCTATTTTAATTGTTTTGAACATCTGAAACACAGTTCAGTTCTATTACATGTACTTCATTTCCATTAAGGAGATTTCCCATATAAAAGAATAAAATCAAGCCATTTAAAATCAATGTAAATGTTGGATAGTATTATTAAAAGTACTGTTTTATTTAATGGATTTAACAACTTTATGTTACAATGTTCACCCTCACAGGATGACTTCTGATTACCAAAATCAAATAAAATATTAAAGAACTGCCTGTGGAATCTCACATTTTCTGTGTGTGGTCATGGGGAAAACAATTCTCCCATACACACATACATAGACATATAATGGGGAACCCAAGAAAGTTTCAGATGATGCTGGAGAATCCAGAGAGCAATTATTCTATGAAGCAGAAGTACCAGATTCTATAGCAAACTAGAATTTATTGGAGAGAAGTAGTATCATTTGTTCCAAACTTAGAAGATAATTTAAGATCCCACCATCAACTCCTCCCCAAAGGCTTGAAAGGCTTCAGATGTTTGGACCTTCTGGTGTCAGGAACCTTCCATTATTGTCTTGGATGGGATGGCACTACCCCAAGCAGACCCAGTGCACAATCTTAGCATCTTCCTGGACTCCTGATTGCAGAGCAGGTGACAACCATGACTAGGAGGGCATTTGCAGACCTTGGGGTTGTGTTCCAGTTGTATCCAGGAGGCCCTACTCACTGTCACTCATGGCCTTGTGACATCCTGTTTGGACTACTGCAATATCCTCTACGTGGGGCTGTCCTTGAAGAACATTTGGAAGCTTCAACTAGGGCTGAATTCATTGGTTCAGCTGCAGGGATCGTAAAAAGAGCCAGCTACTCGTTCATGTAACACTATGACTTTGTGAATTTCATTGGTCATCACTGGGCTTCTGGGTGCGGTTCAAGATGTTGGTTGTCACCTTTAAAGCCCTTTATTGTTTGGGACTGGTGATGCGGGACCATCTCTTCCTGTTTGTTTCTATTTCTCTGATCCAATCTGGAAGGAGGAACATGCTCTGGATCCTATTGGCTAAGGGTGCCTGGGCTAAGGCCCAGGAGGCATGTCTTTTCTGCCCTATATAGAACATACTCCCGCCAGAGGTAAGGAGGGCTTCGACTCTGTTGACCTTGGGTGAGGCCCTAAAGGCCTGGTTCTGTGCATAGGTCTGGAGCCCTGATTGTGTGAAAGGCCCCATCTGGCTGTGTTAACAACGATTGAGCATGATACCTTCATTGATTGTTGTGTATTTTAATTTTTGTATTTGTGATAGGAATAATTTTAAAGTTATTTTAACATTGCTGCCCTGATTCACTTGTTGAGATGGGCAGCTATACAAATTGATTAAATAAATAATGTATGTTGATATTGTCACTTGTTATCATTGTTGTTTTTCTCAGTAGAGAGGGTGTTACCATATTCTGACTCCCATTCACCTAGAGACAAAAGTTATGAAGAGTTAAAATTTTAACTATAATATTATAGTTAAACTAACTATAATATGATATAATATTCATAGGATATGAATATTATGAAGATACAATGAGCTGTTTTTTAAAGAGCTATATAAACTTTAACCCTCCAAGCTGAATTACAGATTGTATCTTTTGTATATCATTCCTATGATTGTCTCTTCAAAGTTGCACTTGATTAAGGTTCGAGCTCTCTATTGATTACACTAAGAAGTCAAAAATCATCTTGAAAGAAGTAGAGGCAGGACATTTCCATAGTGTTGCCATGGAAACTTTACTAAATAAACACATCCTATTTCAAAAGCTAAAATAAAAATGGTACCAAGCACTTTCATTTGGGAAAATGAATGGCTTGGCTTAAAGGATTCTAAAAGTGCAGAGATGCTTAGTGAGATGATTGGCATGTAAATTGAATAAATAAAATTATCTCCCAAGAGAGCACCTAAGGTTTGATCTTAATGAAGACTCTGGACTCTGCCCAAAACCTCTTCTTTCCGATGTGTGAAATCCCATTTTCACTTGGGGTGTAGTCAACTTAGACAAACATGTAAAATCGGATGGTTTCTCTCTTCCGCAGTGAAAGAAATGGACAGAATGACATTAACTCTCACCACAGCTTTTTCCCAAGCATCAAAATCATGATTTCATTCATTGTCTAAATTAAGCAACAGAGAATTGTAGGAAAAGAAATCATGATGGGAGGAAGGCTTATGAGGGAAAGAAAGTTGGAAAAATACCAAATGTAAGAACGGACTGACCTCTAGTGGCTACAAATATCAATAACAATTAGAAAGCAATATAAAGAATGCAGAACGTTTCTGGAAAACTTGGATGCTAGATACTGGAATATCTTTCCAATCACTTTACCATAGGCTGCCTATATTTTCTTTTGTGTAATGAAGCAACATGTTCTGTCTATGCATATGCATTTCTGCTCTCCCCTTGTGTTGCATCTTTGTATATTTCTGTAAATTGCAAATTCATGCATTTTGGATCACTTGACTAGAAAACAAGGCTTAAAAAGGAACCATCGCAACTACAACTCAGTTACCTCTCCTTCAGGGATGTGATTTATTTTTTTCTGAAACAAGTATATTTCCTGGTTTGATCCAAGCATTTTATATCCTGATTTTTCTTTTATTGGTTTCTTCATATGTCTTTCTTTCTTTCTTTCCTCTCTCTCTCTCTCTCTCTCTTTCTTCCTTGTCTTTATTATTTTTTTAGAAAAAGTTTTTTATTGTTTTAATTGAACAAAAGTTTTAAAAAGAATCATCTTTCATTGCATCTTGTAGAAAGCATGTTGATTGGTTACAAATAGTTTTTGTGCATTTCTACCACAATCATTACATATACTTCCTTCATATATACTTGTACAATTTACATCTGAAAATCTTCATATATTTTACTACTATCAATGTACCACAATTCTCATTCAACTAAAGTTATTTAAACGTGTTTTTTATCTGAGACCCTTTGTATTTAAAAAACATTTTATAATATGAACTTTAATGTTTTTTTTAAAATTGCTCAAGGCACAAACATATTCCAGAAAGGCCCAACAGAGACTCCACTTCCTCAGAGTCTTGCAAAAAAATAAAATGGAACAACAACTGATGACCTCCTTTTACTGGTCCACAATAGAAAGTGTCCTCACTCATTGCATTTCGGTGTGGTATGCTGGTTTGACAGTCTCAGATAGAAGAACATTACAGAGAGTGGTAAGCACAGCACAAAACATTGTGGGCTGTCCCCTGATACCACTAGATGACATTGCTAGGGCTCGCTGCTTTAGGAGAGTGAAGAAAATCCTCAGGGACGACTCACACCCTGGTCAGCTCTTCTTTATTCTCCTCCCATCTGGAAGAAGATATAGAAGCATAGACAGCCGCACAAACAGGCTGATTAATAGTTTTTATCCGTGCGCTGTTAGACTCCTGAATGAAAAATAACCTTACAACAACATAGTACGATTGACATGCGGGGCCAGCACAACATGCAATAAGTTCACATGGTGCAATAGGACTGGGTGTTTGTTAGTAGGATTCACTGGGCTAGGGATTTTTTGTCTTTCACTGTGAGTTGTATTGTGTTGGGAGGGGGGGTGCACGAAGGGAGGCTCAGCCAATCTCATTGTACACATGTTGTACTCTGACAATAAAAGTTTGAATTGAATTGAATTTGAATTGAGTACAAGATACCTCCCTCCTCCTATTTTCCCCACAACAACTGTGAGGAGAGAGGGAGAGAGGGAGGGAGGGAGGGAGGGAGAGAGAGGGGGGGGGCTCTGGCCCAAAGTTACCTGGCTGGCTTTCATGAATAGGGAATAATCGGGGAACTCACGGTTTTCTGCTTTCTAGCCTTTGGCACAGTAGTGTTCTATTTTCAGAGTTATCTTCTCGGAACCCTGAGCTAATAATAATATATTTAAGATGCACTTCAGTTTATTTGTCAGTAGATGAACACATGCAAATCGCACTATTCATTTTGCACCAGTGTTCTAAAAGCATCATTTTCAAAGCACTGTTGGGCTATCTGGAATCCCAGTGTTAAGCAGTTCAGTTTTGGCTTAACATATATGAACATTTAAGGTTTATTCAACAATCCACAGTTAAATCATGATGTATCATAATTTATTCCACACTTAGGAAACATAATTAAGATCTCTGATTTCCCATCAGTAAAATGAAATAGCCCAGATGTCAAAGTCCCTTAAATGCCACTAGGGCATTTTCTCAATTTAGCTGAAAAGCTGGTCATCTTTCCAAAGCCATGTAGCAAAGGACAGCTGAAGTAGGCGCTGTCTGGTCTTGAACCATATGCAGACAACCATCAGATTTATTTAATGTTCAGAATTAGTTCTTGGATTTGTTTGTTTATTCCTCCACCTGATTTCCTTTTGGGTCATGTCTTTTAAGTGGCAGACTGGAGATAGGAACTTCTTTTTTTCATTGATTATATGTAAGTAGCTTAGATGGCATATTTTTAATTATTCATCATGAACTACATTATGTATAATTGATTATCATGAGCAAAGGTCCAAGTTTTCTTTTCTTTTCTCTCTGGAAAAGTTGGAGTAACAGACAGTTCACCACAAGAGGGCCTCATATCTCACTCCTCTTTATATTATCGAAGAAGAGGGCTGACCCTGAGACAGATGATTTGCAAACTAGCAGCTTCTACTCCTTTTTATGAATGGATGCTGTCTCAAATGACATCATAGCCTCTCCACTCCACCCCCACTTTGGAGTCTCTGCAGTTCACAGGTGTTTGGGTACTCTTACAGTAAACGCCGCTGGTTTGAGACAGAATAGCGGGTATTGTGAAGACAGCCACACATTCTTGAACAGCAAGCACTGAATATAGGAATCATCAGGACAGGTGAGTTCTGCTGCATTTCTTTGAATGGGATTCTATTAGCAAGAACGCTGGATTAGTTCTCTGTGTTAAGCATTTCTCTTTATTTATCACTATATGAACTGGTTTGAGGAACCGATAGATTTTTTTAGACACTATATCAATGTATATGAACATTCACTACTGGAATGCATAATCTTTCCATTTCAAGGAGATTGAGATGCACTTTTACACTTCATGGCAACACTTTCTTACCCTAAAGAGAGCAAGCAGTGTAAAACAATTATAGAAGTATGGAAGATCGTGGACTCCCTGTTAGAATTTGAAAGTACTTCGTGTCAGGAAGCATTTTTTAAACTAGCAATTGGGTTAAAATGTGTTTTACGCTTCTCAAATTAGTATTCATAGAACTGGGAGATGGGTAATGCAATCTTATGCAGGTTAATTCACATGAAAATGCTTAGTGAGATTTTGTAGCCAATGCATTTAGGAAGAGAGCTTAAAACTTCAGTCCCATGCGGGTTTGCTCAGAGGAAAGTTCTGCTGTGATGTGTGTAAGAATTCACTAACAGTCACAAATTATCACTTTTGTCTTAGTTATCAGAGGTCAAGCATTCTGTCCTTCAAATTCCAAAAATTCAATCTTTCAACCTAGCTACACCTAATCTCAGCATGGAAGCTGAATAGCAAATAACAAATGCTTTGAAATGATACAGTATTAAACAGAAATGTGGGACATGCACATAACCTGCTCATAATTAACAGACAGATTGCATATTAAATAGGCATATTTAAAGGAAATGTAACATTAATTATTGTATTCAAATTTGCCTTAAGCATGCCACTAAGAAATATTCTGATTCTGTGGCAGCTAACATTTAATATCTCTTTCCCACACATACAACACATCACACAACAGGGCAAACATAATCACTTATAGACTGACTACTTAAGGTAGCCCAAATATCGACAAATATTGTAAGTCAGCAGATATATAAAAAGGAATGTCTTAGAAATTCAGTGGTCCTTTATTTTTATTTTTTTGTAATTCTTATTAAATTTGCTCTGTTTATCTTTGCCTTTTAATAAATATTTTAATAGACATTTTCCTTTTAATATGTATTGTACACACACACACACACACACACACACACAATATTTTCTCTCTTTTCTATTCTCAATAGTCTAAGATATTTAAATAATATAATTTTAGTGTTTTCGAAGATGTGATGTAAACATCAATGTATGGAAACCAGACAATGTACTAAGATTTATAACAACTAATTAAGGGGAAAAAATGTAATAGTTCTTTTTTCCCTGCCCAAGTTACAAGCCCCTTGGTGGTATGCATCTATGTTTACATAGCTAAGCTGTATAATTAGGAAAGGGAACGTGTGGGCATCTCCAAAGCAGTCAAGGGCCCAGACCACTTTGGCTCTATTGGAGTTCTCCAATTGCACTCTTGAACAGAGAGAGACATGGGTGTGGAAGCTAGAAACATTCACTATTTGCAGTTTCCAAATTTAGCCTTGGAAGCACTCGCTAATAGACATAGGACAAATACACAGCAGCTCTCAGTAAGAGAAAGTGACACATTTCCACGGATGTTCACACATCGACCTAATCGTGGCTTATTTTAATTGTGCTTTGTAGAATAAACCACAGTGGGAAGATTGAAGCCATGAATTGTGACTTATAAATCATACTGACTTGATAACACATATTATGCAAAACAAAAACTAACCAAACAGCACCATATCTTAGTGTAATGGGTGAACGCAACCAGGGATTCTTTTTTTCTATATAAAGTTTTTTTTATTATTTTTTCATTTCATAACGTATAATCACATGTATACTATTATATAGCCAACATTGTATTGTATTATTAAATGTTTACATCAATTCATCTTACCATCAACTCCCAAAAACAATTATTGGCTCTTCTGTTCTCCATACACCGTATTTGTACCTTATCCACCACTTTCTTCTCCCTCTCTCCTCCCCCTCTCTCCCTCCTTTCTTCCCTCTGTCACCCTTCCCTTCTCTACTTCCCCTTCTTCTCCTCTCTCTCCTCTTTCCCCTCCTTCTTTCTCTCCTCCTCTCCCTCCCCTGCCCTCTCTCCTCTACTTCTCACTCTTC